AATCTGAATGTACAATGACTCGCGAGGTTGCCAAATCTATTTCGTCGCATACGAATTTTGTTAGTTGCATACCTACTTACAGAGCGACAAGTTCGAGTTTGGGGATCGTGATCTCAGGATTGGAATTCAACTGTTTTGCTGGTGTGAGCCTGTGTCGAGCTATTATCAGGTTTGAATAAAATCCGTCCCTCGGAAGTGCGTGATCTGAGATATACACAAGCTGCAATGGAGTGGGATGAGGCGTCTACAAAGGTCTGTAATGTGTGCTCGATAGTGAACTTAGGCGAGGACAATTCTCTCGGCACCCTTTTCTCAAAGCCTTCAGTCCTTGGCACAAATTGTTTTCCATTTCATTTCATCCACTGTCGATAGAGGTGTATCCCAATCGTATTCTTTTCTCCAAAGCTCTTGAAGGAAAATCTTAGCGGGAGTGAACAAGGGAATCAGAAGACCCAGAGGGTCAAATGTTGCATGCACTTGTTGAAGAATTCTGCGTTTAGTAGGGTGCCGTGCGTAAATCAGTTTGGATTGAAGTACGAATTCGTCACTCGTAGGATTCCAGCTTTGACCAAGAATTTTGTACGAGCTCTGCTTAGAAAGGTCTACCGTGTCGATTGTTTTGTTGCAATCCTCATCATTAGTAATATACTCTCTAAGGTTCATCGACATATTTTGAAATAGTTGTTTGCTTTCGCGATACTTTCTAATGAGTTCGCTAGAATTCTCGGCGGTCAAGAAAACGTTATCAACGTAGAGGTTACGTTGGATTTCTTTACAAAGGGACTGCCCCCTTTGCTGATCTAAGGCGTGTTTGATAGACATGCCTAGCAAGTAAGGAGATGTATTGATGCCGAAAGCTAAGCGTTTGAATCTAAGGATTCGCAAATTGTCCGGGGTCGGGGGAGCGTTCGTATTCTTGAGCCATAGAAAACGTACTGCGTCACGATCACACTCCTGCAAGTAAATCATATGAAATGCTTTTTCAACGTCGGCAGTGAGCAGTTTGTGGCCCATGCGGCAACGGAGCAATATACCACATAGATTAGGAAGAAGCAAGGGTCCCTGATGTATCACATCGTTAAGGCTCAATTCTCCATTACGTTTCGACGAAGCGTCAAAGACGATTCTACATTTTGTCGTATGGCTGTCAGGCTTAAAGACCGCTTGATGTGGCATATAATATCTCGGATGCTTACCCTTTTCGAATGCTTGAACGTCTTCAACAATTCCTCGTTTAATGTGATCTTCTATGATTCCGCAGTACTGGAGCCATTTTGAGGGCTTGTCATTCCATGTTCTGTACAGTTGGTGGAGACGTCCAAGTGCAGTCCCATAGTTATCCGCGAGAAGGTGCTTATTAGCTTTCCATGGGAACTGGACGAAGATTTTATTATCACGTATTTGAACTGTGTCGTAGAAGGTCTTGATAACTCTTTCGTTCTCTTGTTGGTCGGAAGGATTGTCGCATATTCCTATGGTCTCCAGTTTCATTATGCTCGAAATATCGACGTCAGTGGCATTGTGGAGAACCGCGGAGATGGCTGTAACGGGCTTCCGAATAGATGTATTGACCTGCCTC